TTTCTGTGCTGTGATGGGGGCGGAAACCAGATTGAAATTGTTCTTACAGGTTATTGTCAGACAAGTGGGTATGGATCTGGGATGCAACAGTTTTTTCCAGGATTTTTTAGAGAAATTGTAGATAGATTGTTGGGGTCTGCACCAGGTTTCTTCAGTATGGGCGTGATGGTGGCTGATTTGAAAAGTGAGGGAACAAGACCAGAGGTGAGGGAGGATTGTATGATGACAGTTATAAGGGAGGACAATGAAGGTAGACAGGCTTTTACCAGGGGGGTAGGAAGAGGGTCTAACTGACAGGTAGATGGCTTGGATTTACTGATGAGGTCAGATATTACAACAGCAGAGGGAAGTGTGAAACTTGAAAGAGAATGAGAGAGAGGGTCGGTGGAAACAAGGAGAGATATACTGCAGATGGTGTTAGGAGTTAGTTGCTGGTGAATGTTTTCTATTTTGTCATTAAAAAATGACATGAGGGAGTTACAGTAGGCAGTTGAATACTGATGAGGTGCAAGAGAGTCCGGTGGTCATAGAATGTTCTTCACTGTAGAGAACAGGACCCTTGTGTTCCCTTCACCAGAGCTGATGAGAACTGCGTAATATGAGGATCTGGCTGTAGAGAGAGTGTCCTTGTAGTGGAGAATGTGGTTATTGTACATTTCTTTGTGAACGACAAGTCCAGTTTTTTTGCAGAGGCGTTCCAATCGACGGCCTTTTGTTTTGAGTTGGCGTAGTTCAGTAGTTTGTAAACCATGGAGCAGAATGAGTAAAGGAAACGGATCAGGTTTTTAAAGGAGCCAGGGTATTGAGCAGTTTATGAAGTTGTTATTGTAATGAGAAACCAGTTCATCAGGCGGGGATGAACAATTTATGCTGGGGAGGTTGTTAATGCCACTGGAGAGTGTAGTTAAATGAATATCCTTTATGTTGCGGAAGGAAATAACACATGACAGATTTGGTTTGGACAGTGTTAAGGTGACAGTAAAGGATATTAATGAGTGATCAGAAATGGGAAGATCAGTTGCAGTACATTTAAGAAGAGTGACACCAGAACAGCAGATCAAGTCCAGAATATGTCCTTTGGAATGAGTCGGAAAATCAATATTTTGCTGTAATCCAAAACTGTCCAGGCAAGATGTGAAGTCCTTTGTGAGAGCATTGTTGACAGTAATCCCTCCCTGAGCTCCTTGAGCATTTCCTCCATGCTTCTTTGAAAGGCTGCTGGTGCGTTTGACAAGCCAAAGGGCATTCTGACCCATTTATATAGACCCCACAGGGTCGTGAAAGCAGTCAGGTGCCTTGAACCCTCGGCAATAAAGCCCTGGTGATATGCCTTGCCCTGGTCTAGAATGGTCATATGTATATTAAAATCTCCCAGCACCATTATGTTAGATGAGAGTGAGCAGAGATGTGTGATGAAAGCAGCACATTTGTGTATGAATTTATTATTAAGCTTAGGTGGACGGTAGACGCTTGCAACTATGGTAGGGATAGGCCCATTGAGTTGTAAGGCAATTGATTCAAATGAGCCGTGAACAGGCACAGATACAGACAAGACTTTCAAACTCTCGCGGTAAATCATCGCGAGACCTCCGGTGGCACAGGGTTGACAGATGTAAACAAACCCAGGAGGAGTAGATTCATTCAGCTGTGAAAAGTCATTAGGTTGTTGCCACGTTTTTGTCAAACTGAGAAAATCAAACTTACGATCAGTCAGGACATCTTGGAGAAAAGGACCCTTGGTCGTAAGAGAACGGATGTTGAATAGTCCAAAGTTGACATCAGTGTGGTCGTGTTTATGTTTAGCGCTAACGTTAGCCGACCTGGCTAAGCTGGCTAAGACAGTGTGATCAACTTTCCGTGCAGAGTTTCTTGGGTGTTGTCGAGTTGAAGACCAGATGGTTTGTATGGGTTTGGAGTCATCGATGTAAAATCTTCGCCGGGAACCACGGTGGATATATTTCCAACGGGGATGACGAGCGATGTCCAGAAAGAGGTGCAATGCCGATGATGTGTCGGGCAGGTGGAATCGTAGTCGGAGGAGCTCAGCAGCTGTGTATTGGAGTGCCGCTGTCGCTAGGTTGAACGACAGGGCATTCCAGATGACCACAGACCACACAAACAGCTCGTTGATCCACAGAGTTGTCGGTGATGTTTGGCTAGAGGATGGGCCTCACGCCGCGGAAGCAGCCAGGTGAGGGGTGGTTGCCCCGACACACAGCAGGTAGGGTTGATGTTAGTCCAAAATACACACACTGCATATACGTACACCGGTTAATTCGATCGTTGGGCAGATACATCCAGATCATATTATAATGGCCAAAGTCATCAAAGTGAGCGATAACCGTTGCATTACATAAAACTAAAAGTAGCTGGAGAGCAGTGGCAGCTAAGTGCACCAGCGTTCGCTCTGTTTGTTGGGATCATAATCCCCCTTTTCACTAAGAAAGCATTTGAGCTGACTTTTGTTACCAATTAGCGGTGCAGTGCGGGTGATATTTTCCGGTGTTACAAGTGTCTCTCTGGAGCAGTTGTCGCTGGATTTCTTGTAATGTTGTTTTTGTTGTGAGTGTTGTTGCTTACATTTGGAGCTTACTGAGTGGGACTGGAGCTGTGAAACGGTCTCTGGGTGTCCCTCAACAGATACCGACTCTCGTTTCCTGGCTGCCTTGTTCTTTTTTGAACAGCCAACTGCACGATGTCCAAGCTCTCCACACACAAAACAATGGTTACAGGCCTCTAAGCCTCGTTGTAAACAGTTAACACAGAGGGGGATTTTACCTTTCCTTGTGAGAGGAAGCTGACCTGATGTGGGAGGAGGTAAAACCCTTGAGTGGGTCGCTTGTATCACTGCTTTTTGCTGGTCCATCAAAGCTGCCATCATCTTTGTTAAGTTCTCCACTTGAGCGCTGAGCTGTTGTATTGTTTGAAGTTCCTTCTTGTTGCTGATCTGCTCTTCACCATCAACCTGAACACTATGTGTATGTGTTGCCTTTGGTCTGGAAGCATTACCTAACCTGCGGTGGTGTTCGTTTTTGTCACTGATTATCTTCATTACTTGACTGACAATTTCCTCATCAGTAACTTGGCTATTTGAGAGAAGGGATTTCAGTTGCTGTCTCATGTCTGTATGTTTGGATCCTAGACCCTGGTAAATAGTATGAAGGAAAACCTCCTGAATGGTTTTTGGGTCGTAGCAAATGTCCGCATTAGCTTGTCTTGACTGGAAGATGATTTTCTGTTTGAGTCCAGTCATGCGATACAGGAACTGCTGGGGTGGTTCTTGGTCATGTTGTTTTGCACACATAAGTTCCTGGAACAGTTCTGTACTGGCCTTATCACCAAGGTGAGACCTGAGGAATCCCCTGAGTTCACTGATTGTTATCTCTTCTTTATTGGTGAGCATGTCTTTGAAAGCACCTGGCTTAATGTCTTTTGAAGCGTCTTTGGGTTCAAGAAAAGCGCTATAGAAATATAATTTATTATTAACAATCCTCAGCACACCTCGGATAACCTCTGTCTCTGTGAAGCCATCTTTGATTCCCTCATCTGTTTGGAGATGTTGCTATATGTTACTTCAGAGTTTTGATCTCCAATCTGTCCGCTATGTACCTTGAATTCTCTACGCTGGAGATAAGGCAAGTCCTTTAAGGAAACCATCTTCTCAGTGTCAGCCTTCTGTGATTTGATGTGATGTGTTGTTGGCTCACCTATGCTCTGGTACTTACTGCGTGCTGTGCTTGCCATATCTTTGTGGTGTTGTAGCTTCTTGCCTAGCTCTTCGTACATTAGCTGGAGCTGCTCTACACTTTAGGTAGTTATGTCTGTGTTAATGTCAGTGGGTGGTTGTGTAAAATTGACTGTGTGTGCAGTACTATGTCTGGCAGTTAACGTGTCACTGTTAGCATGTGAAGATGTAGTGGCATTACTTTCCCTGACAGGTGAAGCTGTGAATGTGTTCTGTTTGTGTGTTACCCCATTTGTGACAAAATCTGCATCAACATTATGGAAGATATTAAACACAAGGTCATATAACATTAGCAATTGACTCATACCTTCATCTTCAGAACTCAGTAGTTCCTCAGACTGCATATAAGTTAAGATATAGTCCACTCAACCTTCTTCATCAGTAGACGTAGTCGTGTGTACCTGAACTGTCTTTTTGCGATTTCTCGGGCAAGCTGTTAGACCTCGATGCCTGAGAGATTGAACAGTTTATTTTTGATGCTCCAAGCGCGTTCTTTGCGTGCTATGGACATGACGTACGATGGCTCGACACAGTAGCAGTGCGGTTCGCTTGGCAGAATGAAGACCCTCCTGGCTCTGTTCTCCCCTCGTGGACACCGATCAGCTGTCGTCACAGACGCAGCCACGTCACCTCACCTTGGCCTCGTAGTTCTGATATCTCAGGATCTGTTCCCCTTGATTTGTGAAGACAGATCCCGGACGAGACCCCACAATGTATTACGGGTCCCAAAAGCTTGGGTACCACAGCAACAATAAAGATATCTGTAGAAAACAGAAAAGTGCAGCAGCAAGGATTAGACACAGGATCCGGTTGATCGTCTGGATTGCTTCTGAGGAGGGGGCGGAAGTGTCCCCCCTAAGATAACCCAGGTGTCAACGCTCACCTGCCAAAGGTTCCACCTTGGCGCTACTTATTCTTACTGTTTCTCAAACAGTACAGATAAACCATAAAATGATATGAATGTCGCCAAAATAAATACATATAAGGTTGATCTTTTCAAAACAATACATTCACTGTTTAGCAAAAATAAATAAAAGTAAATACACAAATAATTGTACAATTTTTGGGGTGTACCACACGTACCTGTCTAGGGACTATAGATAGAAGTGATCTTAATCTGGCATAAATCATCCCTTCTTTGAGATTCATGTATTTATATGCATGGTCCTTGTTTATTAAACACATAATAATATGAACAGTATTTAGGATCATTGTGACAGTCCAGATTCCTAACTGTTTCTTTTTCATGTTTCAGGAGGAGGCTGGAGGAACCTGAGCCCAGCTGTGTGTCCATGAAGAGTGACTGGTCTATGTGGAAACCTATTCACTTCAAAGATGGACGACACTCTGTTGGTCAAAGGTGAGGATTGAAAGTTGATAACCCCCTTCATGGTACCTGCTGCTCTGGTTTCAGTTTGTATTGACCCAGCTAAGAAAGTGTGGCTTGAATTTTCTTGGTGAGACACTTCTCTGGTTCCTTTATAATAAAAGCAGCTTTGAGCATAAGGCGTATCACGTTTTAAAGCTTTAAGCACCATAAACACCATGACAAGCTCCTCGTCTGTGTGAACCAACTTGGCAATAAACCTGTTTCTGAATTATGGATGCCAGAAACTGAACATGATCAAATTCGAAAATCGGACAGCCCTGGCGAATATTAATCGATTATTGAATTGAATGATATCACTGTCCTTTACCTTTGTACCGATTTGTGTGTGTTTAACGGTATACATGTGCATAGCTAAACATGGATATGTTCATACGTATGTTATTTGGGATTCATTTTTATTTGAACAGATCAGCTTTTTTCAGTGGTTGACAAAGAAAAACAAACTCTTTGGGATTAGCAGGAGGAATAAACATTTACTACTACAGGAAGTTACATCAAGGACCTTTACCATGTGTTTGTCTCTGTTTGGACGGAGATAATATGAGTTATTTCTTCATGATTCCTCACAGAGAGGACCAGCAGAGCTCAGAGGTTCCCAGAGGTCAGTCTGCCCAGCAGCATCAGACACAGCTGGACTCCACATTTATGGTCTGTACATGAACTACAGCTACTCTACATCTTTTCTGATCACAACTAATTCCATGATCCAATTGTGATGTCCAGTTCTCTTAGTTTGATTGTGTTGTTCACATCTTCTGTTCCAGCTGCTGGAGGACAACATCATCACTTTTGTGAAGAACGAGCTGAAGAAAATCCAGAAGGCTCTGAGTTCAGATTACCCAGAATGCTTAGAGAGTCAGAGTGAGGATGAGGAGGTGTTGGACGGTGAGGATGAAGAGCAGAGGAGGAGCAGCAGAGAGGCATTTCTGAACATCTCACTGCACTTCCTGAGGAGCATGAAGCAGGAGGAGCTGGCTGACCGTCTGCAGAGCAGTAAGAGGGTTTCTAGAAAGATTTAACAAGCTGGATAAATGTTGACTAATGTCTCAAGAGAGGGAGCAAAGCATAAGAAAAGTCTTGACTCATTGATCTGCTTTGTTGTGTGTTCATTCAGGAAGTCGTTCTGGAGTGTGTCAGCGTAAACTTAAGTCTAACCTGCAGAAGAGGTTCCAGTGTGTGTTTGAGGGCATTGCTAAAGCAGGAAACCCAACCCTTCTGAACCAGATCTACACAGAGCTCTACATCACAGAGGGGGGGGTCTGCAGAGGTCAATGCTGAACATGAGGTCAGACAGATTGAAACAGCATCCAGGAAACCAGACAGACCAGAAACAACCATCAGACAAGAAGACCTCTTTAAAGCCTCACCTGGAAGAGATGCACCAATCAGAGCAGTGCTGACAAAGGGAGTGGCTGGCATTGGGAAAACAGTCTTAACACAGAAGTTCACTCTGGACTGGGCTGAAGGCAAAGCCAACCAGGACATCCAGTTCATATTTCCATTCACCTTCAGAGAGCTGAATGTGGTGAGAGAGAACAAGTACAGCTTGGTGGAACTTGTTCATCACTTCTTCCCTGAAACCAGAGACGCAGGAATCTGCAGGTTTGATCAGTTCCCGGTCGTGTTCATCTTTGACGGTCTGGATGAGTGTCGACTTCCTCTGGACTTCCTCAACACTGAGATCCTGACTGATGTCACAGAGTCCACCTCAGTGGATGTGCTGCTGACAAACCTCATCAGGGGGAAGCTGCTTCCCTCTGCTCGCCTCTGGATAACCACACGACCTGCAGCAGCCAATCAGATCCCTCCTGAGTGTGTGGACATGGTGACAGAGGTCCGAGGGTTCACTGACCCACAGAAGGAGGAGTACTTCAGGAAGAGATTCAGAGATCAGGAGCAGGCCGGCACCATCATCTCCCACATCAAGACCTCACGAAGCCTCCACATCATGTGCCACATCCCAGTCTTCTGCTGGATCTCTGCTTCAGTTCTGGAGGAGGTGTTGAAAACCAGAGAGGGAGGAGAGCTGCCCAAGACCCTGACTGAGATGTACATCCACTTCCTGGTGGTTCAGTCCAAAGTGAAGAACATCAAGTATGATGGAAGAGCTGATACAGATCCACACTGGAGTCCAGAGAGCAGGAAGATGATGGAGGCTCTGGGGAAACTGGCTTTTGAGCAGCTGCAGAAAGGCAACCTGATCTTCTATGAGTCCGACCTGACAGACTGTGGCATCGATATCAGAGCAGCCTCAGTGTACTCAGGAGTGTTCACACAGGTCTTTAGAGAGGAGAGAGGACTGTACCAGGACAAGGTGTTCTGCTTCGTCCATCTGAGCGTTCAGGAGTTTCTGGCTGCTCTTCATGTCCATCTGACCTTCATCACCTCTGGAGTCAACCTGCTGTCAGAAGAACCAACAACATCCCAGCAGTCTAAAGCCTTCAGACCCAAACCTAAACTAACACATCTCTACCAGAGTGCTGTGGACCAGGCCTTACAGAGTCCAAACGGACACCTGGACTTGTTCCTCCGGTTCCTCCTGGGTCTTTCACTGCAGACCAATCAGAAACTCCTACGTGGTCTGCTGACACAGACAGGAAGTAGCTCAGAGACCAACAAGAAAACAGTCCAGTACATCAAGAAGAAGATGGATGAGGATCTGTCTCCAGAGAGAAGCATCAACCTGTTCCACTGTCTGAATGAACTGAATGATCGTTCTCTAGTGGAGCAGATCCAACAGTCCCTGAGTTCAGGAAGTCTCTCCACAGATAATCTGTCTCCTGCTCAGTGGTCAGCTCTGGTCTTCATCTTACTGTCATCAGAAGAAGATCTGGACGTGTTTGACCTGAAGAAATACTCTGCTTCAGAGGAGGCTCTTCTGAGGCTGCTGCCAGTGGTCAAAGCCTCCAGGAACGCTCTGTAAGTACAGAAACATTCATATATCATGGTTTAGATGTTCAGCTCATCATTTTAACATATTGCTTGGTCCTCCTTCATCAGACTGAGTGGCTGTAAGCTGTCAGAGAGAAGCTGTGAAGCTCTGTCCTCAGTCCTCAGCTCCCAGTCCTCTAGTCTGAGAGAGCTGGACCTGAGTAACAACGACCTGCAGGATTCAGGAGTGAAGCTGCTGTCTGCTGGACTGGAGAGTCCACACTGTACTCTGGAGACTCTCAGGTCAGGATTTTTCAGTCTAATGTTGTTAGGCTTTACTTTCACACTTACGTCTTCACCTTTAAGTTTTGCCACATTTAAAAAAATGTGACTTTAAATCCAAGAAGTGTGCAAAAATGATTGTGGTTAGTTAGAAAAATCGGATCAGACAAGTATCTTATGATTGCGATGGACCTTGGTTCATTCTGTTCTGTCCCATATTTATAGGTTTGTCATGATAAATGCAGATTTGTTCTTGCTGATTGTTTTCCTTTAATAGACTGAGTGGCTGTAACCTGTCAGAGAGAAGCTGTGCAGCTCTGTCCTCAGTCCTCAGCTCCCAGTCCTCTAGTCTGAGAGATCTGGACCTGAGTAACAACGACCTGCAGGATTCAGGAGTGAAGCTGCTGTCTGCTGGACTGGAGAGTCCACACTGTACTCTGGAGACTCTCAGGTCAGGATTAGTCAGTCTTCTAAATGGTCTCTTCCCAAATATATTTAGATAGTTATGTCTAGTCAACTTTTAGATCCTGGGAATGAAGCATTTTAGACACATTTTATTCTGCCTCTGATGAATGGACTTTACTTTCACACTTTAGTTTTCACCTTTAAGTTTTGCCACAATTTAAAAATGTGACTTAAAGGCCCTGACACACCAAGCAGTCACCAGAGAACTCACCGACGCCGACTGTTGCGTCTGCGTGTTCTCCTGCGTCTTGGCCATGTGTCGCACTGGAACACACCGCAAAGACTTCAGCCGAGCACGTACGAACTGCGCATGCGTGAGTGGCAATAACTCTCCGTACCAGCAGGCGGCGGTAGTGTGTATTCGTCATTCAAAAGAGGCAACAACCGGAAGACAGAGATGAAGAACAGACTGCGTGATCTAAACAAACAACAAATAGCTTGTGCGTTCCATTTTCACTCCCGTCCATCGAAAACATGTTTCGTGCGGTACTGGAGCTATCAGCCATTGGAGTGTTGCTTGTGGAAGACATTGTCAAGCAACCGTTTTGCTTCTCATGCACTGATTCGCTAGCTGATCAGCCAATCAGAGTGATTTATTTGTCCGACTGCCTGTGGCCGACGCACGGCCGATTCAACATGTTGAATCGGCCATGAAAGGCCAAATAAGGCGTATCACGGCTGACGGTGCGGGACACACCAAATTGAGTTTGGGCGACAGGGCACGCTTCGTCGTCCGACTAACGAAAACGGCCGATTTCGGCCTGGTGTGTCAGGGCCTTTACATGCAGGAATTGTACAAACATTATCGTGGTCAGTTAAAAAAATCGGAACAGACAAGTATCTTATAATTGGGATGGACCTTGGTTCATCCTGTTCTTCCCCATATATATAGCGTTGGGACTGGGATCTTTGGAACGATAAGTACGGATTTCTTCTTGTTGATTATTGTCCCTTCAGACTGAGTGGCTGTGACCTGTCAGAGAGAAGCTGTGAAGCTTTGTCCTCAGTCCCCAGCTCCCAATCCTCTAGTCTGAGAGAGCTGGACCTGAGTAACAACGACCTGCAGGATTCAGGAGTGAAGCTGCTGTCTGCTGGACTGGAGAGTCCACACTGTACTCTGGAGACTCTCAGGTCAGGATTCATCAACATATTAAGTTACCCTCTGAATAAATATGTATATGTTGGGCTGCTGTAGCCCATGGGGGAAGTATGTTTTTCAAAACATGGTATTGAACTGTATGCTAGTCACTTTATTAAAGCTTAAGCTAAAATAACATTCATGATTACTGGATACATTTATATGTTTTCTTTACTCATATATTTGATTTAATAAGCTGTGATTGGCCAATCTTTACAGCCTATAGATTATAATTTACTTTGGCTTTCCATCTGTTTTGCCCAGCAAAACACTTTATCTCAACATCTTATTCACTTTACATTTTTGCAATTTTATTATAACATTTTCTTTAAATCCAACTATTATGCAAAATGATCTCGGTCAGTTGAAATAATGGTGTTTAGGGGATTATGTAATAAATATGACGGACCAAATGTTACACTTTGTTTCTCCTATATGTGGTAAATGCAGAGTTTTTTAAATATATATCTCATTGTCCCTTCAGACTGAGTGTCTGTAACCTGTCAGAGAGAAGCTGTGAAGCTCTGTCCTCAGTCCTCAGCTCCCAGTCCTCTAGTCTGAGAGAGCTGGACCTGAGTAACAACGACCTGCAGGATTCAGGAGTGAAGCTACTGTCTGCTGGACTGGAGAGTCCACACTGTGAACTGAAGACTCTCAGGTCAGAGTTCATCAACATGGCTACTTAAATTGGGATTTACATTAATGGATATACATGTAACCTGCAAAATATTGCATTTTCCTATATGTTATCCAACCTGTCAAGTTTATTTAGTTATGTTATTTTGTGTGTTTGCAGGCTGTCAGGCTGTCTAGTCACAGTGGAAGGCTGTGTTTATCTTGCTCTGAGATCCAACCCCTCCCACCTGAGAGAGCTGGACCTGAGCTACAATCATCCAGGAGACTCAGGAGAGAAGGTGCTGTCTGCTGGACTGGAGGATCCACTCTGGAGACTGGAAACGCTCAGGTATTATAAACTAGTCTGACTCCTCACTCCAGCACTGTATGCTCTGTGTCACCGGTCTGTCCCGTTTCAGTTTCTGCTTGTAAGCAGGCAGCAGCAGCAGTGAGAAGTGGTCTGATTTGCCGAATGGGCGAAGGAGAGTAAGAGCCTTATATCCATGTCGGAAAGTGGAATGAACATGGTCCAGTGTATTTCTGCCGCGCGTCGAGCAGCTGATGTGTTGAAAGTATCTTGGCAGAACTCATATTGGCGGTGTTAAAATCCACTGCAACAATCAAAGCCGCCTCTGGCCACGAAGTCTCTGTCCTGTCAATCACTCCAAACAGCTGAGCGAGTGCTGTGTTGTTGTCAGCGTGAGGCGGAATATACACAGCTGTAATCACAACGGATTCAAATTGTCTTGGCAGAGGAAAAGCCCGGCATGTGATCATGAGGTGCTCTAAATGAGGGGAACAGTCTGAAGAAATAATCCTCACATCTGTGCACCAGTTATTGTTTATCATGATCCACACACCACCTCCCTTACTTTTCCCCGAGTTAACTGTCCGGTCCTGGCGAAATATAGTGAATCCGTCAGGAACAATGGCTGAGTCCGGGATTGAGCCTAGTCTCCGTGAAAATGAACACGTTACAGTTCTTAATGTCCCGTTGAAAAGTAATCCGACTTCTGAGTTCATCTAGTTTGTTTTCAATGGATTGAACATTAGCCAGAAGAATACTCGAAAGACGGGGTTGGTTTTCTCGTTTCCTCAGTCTGACCAGCAGCCCGGGACCCTTGCTTTGTCTTCCTCCTGCGTCTCTCAGGTAGGACAGCAACAGGTAGCCATGGCGAATCTCCATTGTCTGACGGTGGGCTGTTGTCCACAAAGTTTCTGAACTGTAGAAGTTCCTCTCTACTATATTGTATAGCAGAGTTGGTGCGGCGGCTCGCATGCTGCGGACCAGGTTAAAAGCACACGGCAAAAAGTAAATAAACACTGGAAAAATACGAGAAAAAGGCAAAGTTAGAGAGGCGCCAAAGACAATGCAGCCATCTTCACCGGCGCACCTAAAGAGAACTGTAATCATCTTTATTTATCGGCTAACTTAAAACAATATCAGCTGATTAATAACAGGTGCGCTATGTAATATTTTTAGAGAATAACAAAGCTCTGTGTTTGAGATTGATTTCCATGTCTCCATGCTGCTCTAACCCTCCCCCCCTCTTTCAGGATGGAGCCTGCTGGAGTCCGATGGCTGAGACCCGGTCTGAGGAAGTGTGAGTGTGGTTTAATTTGATTCATGAAAACAAAGCAGCCACTATCTTCAAATGTAACCTTCATCATCAAAGTGTCAATAAATGAACAGCTGATAGATTAATAACTGCTGCTGTTCCTCTCCTCAGATTCCTGTGAACTCTCACTCGACACAAACACAGCTCACAGGAACCTCAAACTGTCTGAGGACAACAGGAAGGTGACAGGTGTGGAGGAGAAGCAGCCATATCCTGATCATCCAGAGAGGTTTGATTACTATCCTCAGCTGATGTGCAGAGAAGCTCTGACTGGTCGCTGTTACTGGGAGGTCAAGTGGAGAGGAGAGGTTGATATATCAGTGACTTACAGAGGAATCAGCAGGAAAGGAAACAGACAGGACAGTGTGTTTGGATATAATGATCAGTCCTGGAGTCTGTACTGTTCTGGTGATGGTTACGATGTCATTAACAATAAGACAGTAACACACACCTCCTCCTCTTCTTCCTCCTCCTCCTCCTCTGGTAGAGTAGCAGTGTATCTGGATCATCCTGCTGGCTCTCTCTCCTTCTACAGAGTCTCCTCTGACACACTGATCCACACCTTCAGAACCACATTCACTGAACCTCTCTATGCTGGCTTTGCAGTTTGTTCTGGATCAGTGTCTCTGTGTCCTCTGTAGGAGGAAGAGTCTCCTCCTCTTCCAGAAACTTCCTCCCTGCTGCCCAGATAGTTCAGTCTGTTCAGGATCACAGCTGATGTTAGTTAGTACCACCCTCACTGTAATAGAGGAGGAAGAGGAGGCTGAGGGAAGAGCAAAGGATGCAAAACATATACTGTATCTCTATATTGTGCAGTAAACATATATTTCCCTTCAATACTTTGCTCTACATACAGTAATTACCAAAAATGCAGAATGCACAGCGTCAACCTTTGAAAGCTATATCGAAAAACACGAGTTGAACATTTTAATAAAACATTTTTAAATGTAGACATATTAGAAACAGAATAGAAGCATTTTTATTCACTCTATGATTTTCGAACATCTTCATTATTGTATAACCTGCTGATCCATAACAGTAACACTGAAACCAACTGAGTTTTCTTTTTAATAAATTGTGTTTGTTTGTTAATGAATATAATTCACAAAGCTCCTTCTCCCCATTGAGAACAACGTTTCTCTGCTCTGAGTAAATAGTACCTGAACATCTGCTTTGTTTCTGAGTCTGTAAATCAGTGGATCAAAATGTACAAATCTTTGATGATCATTTAAAAAAAAAGTTTCACTGTTTGTACAAATACAGCAAAAATGTTAAATAAATAAAACTGTAATACAAGATATTAAAATGTAAAGTGATTTTATATTTTTCATTAAAGGTCTGCCTGTACATTTCTGAAGTCTTTCATTATTCACTTTCTTGAATGAAACTTTTATGATACTTACACGTTTAGTGTAAGTATCATAAACAACATCTCAACATATTAACAGCACTTTATGATTTCTGAAGTAAAAATATAACGTTACGCTATAAAGGAACTACAGCACAGGTCACATGACTTCACGTCACCACCGCTAAGCTAAAGGTGGCTATGTTGGGCTATAAGGAACTACAGCACGGTCACATGACTTCACCGTCACCCACCGCTAAGCTAAAGGTGGCTAATGTTGGGCTATAAGGAACTACAGCACGGTCAGATGACTTCACGTCACCCACCAGCTAAGCTAAAGGAGGCTATGTTGGGCTATAAAGGAACTACAGCACGGTCACATGACTTCACGTCACCAGCCGCTAAGCTAAAGGAGGGCTAATGTTGGTCTATAAAGAAACTACAGCACGGCCACATGACTTCACGTCACACACCTGCTAAGCTAAAGGGTGGCTAATGTTGGGCTATAAAGGAACTACAGCACGGTACCATGATGACTTCACGTCACCACCGCTAAGCTAAAGGAGGGCTAATGTTGGGCTATAAGGAACTACAGCACGGCCACATGACTTCACGTCCACCAACCGCTAAGCTAAAGGTGGCTAGTAGTTGGGTCTATAAAGAAACTACAGCAACGGCCACATGACTTCACGTCACCACCGCTAAGCTAAAGGGTGCTAATGTTGATCTATAAAGGAACTACAGCACGGTCACATGACTTCACGTCACCACCGCTAAGCTAAAGGTGGCTAATGTTGGGCTATAAAGGAACTACAGCAGCGGTCCACATGACTTCACGTCACCAACCCGCTAAGCTAAAGGTGGCTAATGTTGGTCTATAAAGAAACTACAGCACGGCACATGACTTCACTCACCACCGCTAAGCTAAAGGTGGCTAATGTTGGGCTATAAGGAACTAAAGCACGGTCACATGACTTCACGTCACCACCGCTAAGCTAAAGGAGGCTAATGTTGGGCTATAAAGGAACTACAGCACGGCCACATGACTTCACGTCACCACCGCTAAGCTAAAGGTGGCTAATGTTGGTCTATAAAGAAACTACAGCACGGCCACATGACTTCACGTCCACCACGCTAAGCTAAAGGTGGGCTAATGTTGGCTATAAAGGAGCTACAGCACGGTCACATGACTTCACGTCACCACCGCTAAGCTAAAGGTGGCTAATGTTGGGCTATAAAGGAACTACAGCACGGTCACATGACTTCACGTCACCACCGCTAAGCTAAAGGTGGCTAATGTTGGGCTATAAAGGAACTACAAGCACGTCACAATCACTTCACGTCACCACCGCTAAGCTAAAGGTGGCTAATGTTGGGCTATAAAGGAACTACAGCACGGTCAGATGACTTCACGTCACCACCGCTAAGCTAAAGGAGGCTAATGTTTGGGCTATAAAGGAACTACAGCACGGTCACATGACTTCACGTCACCACCGCTAAGCTAAAGGAGGCTAATGTTTGGTCTATAAAGAAACTGACAGCACGGCCACATGACTTCACGTCACCACGCGCTAAGCTAAAGGTGGCTAATGTTGGGCTATAAAGGAACTACAGCACGGTCACAATGACTTCACGTCACCACCGCTAAGCTAAAGGTGGCTAATGTTGGGCTATAAAGGAACTACAGCACGGTCACATGACTTCACGTCACCACCGCTAAGCTAAAGGAGGCTAATGTGAGATCAGAACCAGCTGTGCAGAGACTCTCATCTGTACAGTAACCACAGCTGTCAGATAAGTGCAGTAAAAGTACAACATGTACCTCTGGAGATGAGTACAAGTATCAGGTAGCCAACATGGAAGTACTCTTAGTTGAGTAAATGTATGAAGTGTTGGACACTAGTGCTGTAGCGACGCGTCCGACGTGTCCGACTTCAAAAATATCGTCGACGACATATTTCCGCGTCGACGCGTCGCTACACACACGTGGGTCACCCAAAGCAACAAGCGGTTCGCAATCGCACTTCAAACACAATGTAGACTGAAATGGCTACCACCTCCTCCTCACAGGATTGCGCACGAAGACCCCAAACGAAAACATCTCGCCCTAGGTCTTCAAAAGCATGAGAATATTTTAAAGTTAGTCCAAAACGCAAAGATATTTATATTTTATATCTCACTGAGACTGCTGCATAGCCTAGCAGAAGCAGCAGCTAGCTGTGGTGGCTACCATTAGCAGCTAGCATTTGCTCTCCGATTTTTTACATAAAATGGAATTATGGATTATAAATTCAATCATTTTTGTATACATAGACGTTAAAAACCTATGGATTAACCGATTCAGAGCCGCGTTTTTTTCTCATTTTAATGCCATTGAACATGTCTTTTGATCAGATTGACAGCTACGGTGGTGAGACGATCTCCCTAGAAGCTCTGTGAAGGTACGTGTTGTGATGACTGTATTTGCTTCCCCTGTCGCGAGTCCGGATCACTCAGTGATGATACTATATACCTACATAATCTGTGGAGTCTCAGCTTTAATCGGATATATTGTATGTGCAGCTACGATAAGTAATAAGGGTACTTTTATCTTGAGTTCTGTGCCAATGTCCGTTAGCATTTTTTCGCTCAGGGGTCATTTAGATGCTTCTTATGAGACTTGTGTTTTGTTTTGGTAAACATGGTTTGTATCGTCAATTAGCTGAGATTATTTCCGTTAATCTGGTATAACACATTAATAGGTTCTTAAATATTAAGATCCCCTGAGACACAGTATCGTGAAAACATTTTTTTTTACATTACGTTTTTTTTACATTACGTTTTTATGAATTGAACAACAGAAAAATAATCGTTAGATTAGTCGACTAATCGATCAAATAATCGCCCGATTAATCGTTTTCAAAATAATCGTTTCCCCCCCAGCACTATTGGACACGTTGCAGACAGAGACGTTGATGCTGTCAGTGATGAGGATCTGTTCTCAGCTGTGTGCGTAACTCTTTAGTGTCCCCTGGTCTCCCAGCTGTGTGCGTCACTCTTTAGTGTCCCCTGGTCTACCAGCTGTGTGCATCACTCTTTAGTGTCCCCTGGTATCTCAGCTGTGTGCGTCACTCTTTAGTGTCCCCTAGTCTGTTCTCAGCTGTGTGCGTCACTCTTTAGCAGTGGCGAAGCCTGTCTATCGCAACTGGACCTTCTGTAGACACAAACGATTGGCTGATTCTCTGCTCTCATCATGGCCCCTGACATGTAACTCCTGTTTCCCAAGGAAAATCACACAGTGGATCAGACGTTTCAAAATCTCCCGATTTTTGTTCACCTTTTCGTTGTGAATGATCGTTTCTCTACGTCTCTGTTCGTCCAGCTGTAGATCAATCCTTGTGTCTCCAAAAGTCTTCAAGGTGACCGTTGCCTTAAGATGCCCTGCTGTGTTTTGGTGTTTTTGTGCAGCCTTGATTAAACAGCTCAGATTATCGTAGCCTTTCCAATTCCATGCCCCCTTTTCGGTCCCAAAAAGCAAGCACTCCCAGCAGTAGAGCCTTTTGTGACTAACTGAGCCCGTAAGCCACGGGTATCTTTCCCAGTTGCTAGCCTGGAAATGGCGAACATAGCCTTTAGCAACTTGATTCAGCTACAGATTTTCAGGCGTTGGGCGCCCTTTTTTTACAATGTCCGTCTTTTCAGTGAATTGTCGTCTTAAAAAAGGAACCGACAATAATTCCGCAACAACATCTTCTTCACCTGTTGCCATGTCAACGTTAAAACGAATAAAACAGAAAATTAATTGTTACGTCCCATCTATATCCTGTGTCTCGCACCTGTCAGAACTAACGGGCCTTCTAGCATACCCTGCACCGTGGGAAAACTCCGAAAAGAATACGCCCATTGGCTACAAATCATATATGATTGGTTGATCAAACTGTCAGAGTGTTCGCTCTCATTCAGTTCAACGACCAGGGCCTTCTATCAAGGATACAGAATACCCACAGACGCAGAAACAGATCTGATTGGTTGCATTTCTTTTCTAAAATGCGTAGTGCAAGGTCCGAGAAGGACAAACAAATTCACGTAACACTGTTTATTACAGATCAACAACCCAGATAAGATTCTCATTTATTAAATGTATTTACATTTTATTAAATTGTATTTAAATATAATTAAATCGATTCATGTCTTTTTTTTATCTGAGTTATCAGGGTATTCTCTGAATACCTTGAAGGCCCTGACGGTTCGCCACTGCTCTTTAGTGTCCCCTGGTCTCCCAGCTGTGTGCGTCACTCTTTAGTGTCCCCTGGTCTGCTCTCAGCTGTCAGAGTGCAGCAGGGAGCGGCTGGGGTTTGATCTTTAACTACAATATAAAGTCATATAGAGTTGAGCTCTCCTCCACCTAAGACCCTCACTAGAGTTTATACTGTTGCCCAAACCTATATCTGGCAACCGTCAATCGACACGCACATCTTCGTCAGCTGAGACGCACTACACCTTCGGCCAGCCCGGAGAGAAAACTCTGCATGGCTTTGCTAAATGCTAGGTCAATAGCAAACAAGACGTTCCTGTTAAACCGACTTCTTCACCTCTCATGATCTGGATGTAATGTTCCTGACGGAGACCTGGGTCTACACCGGCGAGTATAGTAGCGTTTTCTTGAACTTCTTCCTCCCGACTGTACTTCCTTCAGCTCCCCCCCGTACCACCGGCCGTGGTGGGGGCATAGCTTCAGTGTTTAGAGCTAATCTCCAATGCCGTTTGCTTCACCCAGTAACTAGCTATGCTAGCTTTGAGTTGCAGCTTTTTGAGCTGAACCTGGCCTCACCTATACTCTGCGCAGTCGTGTATCGTCCGCCAAAGTACAATAATGATTTTATAACTGACTTTTCTGACTTTCTGTCCGGGATCATGGTGAAATATGATCGTGTTTTGATCTGCGGAGACTTTAATGTCCATGTGTGCTGCGAGTCCAAACCTCTGGTTAGGGACTTTTTAAACCTCCTCGACTCTTTCG